ATAGCTTACTTCTTACCTTAGAACAGCAATTAGTTTTCTTCTGGGAGGAAGTTTGGGTGCAGGAGAGGGATCCTGGCTGGGGCAGAGTGTTGGGGTTCAGGAGAGGGTGAGGGCTCAGGAAGGGAGTTTGGTGCAGGGGTTTGGAGTGTAGGAGGGGGTGAGGAGTCTACATGGGAGTTTGGGTGCAGGATGGGATTCTGACCTGGGGCAGGGGGTTGGGGGTGTAGGAGGGGGTGCGAGGTGCAGGCTCTGGCTGGGAGGCACTTATCACTGGCAGCTCCCAGTGCAGCAGGGCTCAGACAGGCTGCCTGCCTGCCTGCATGCCATCGCCCCACGCTGCTCCCGGAAGTGGCTGGCTGCTGGCGTGTCTCTGCGTGCCTCTGTGTGGAGAGGAACAGCATGTCTCCATGTGCTGCCCATACCCACAAGTGCTGGCCCCGCAGCTCCCATTGGCCGGTTCAATGGAGCTGCAGGGACGGTGCTGGGGATGGGGGCAGAGCATGGAGCTGCCTCCTCACCCACTCCCGCCATGGGCCTCAGATACATGCCAGCAGCTGGCTGCTTCCTGGAGTGGCGTGGGACCACGACATGCAGGCAGCCTGCCTGAGTCCTGCTGCACCATGCCCCCCTTAGCCTGGGCCCTAGACTCCAGCCCCTAAAGCCCCTGCATTAATCCAGCCCTGATTAGGGGGTAGCAGCACAGAAAGGAGATTGTTGCAGTTGAATATAGCTCCCTGCTTTGTTAGACCAGCTGACTCTCGGGTTAAAGGGCAGTTCAAATTCATGCCTATATGCCTCCAAAAATTTCTATTTTTGAAAGTAAAATAATAATTGTATATTTATTTGTATTAGGACTGTAGATTCTACACAGCGACATACTTAGAAAATACCATTTAATATTCAAAGACAAAATACTTTTCTTTCTTAGCTCATTCTGCTTTTGGAGTCTGTGGTCATTCATGGTAGAATAAACTGGAAACAATTTTTCCACAATTAGTTAATGCCATGCTTTTCAACTTGTTCAAATCTAAAATTAAATTATCTAGATTGATTTTTAAAATCATCTACAATTTTTTTTGTGGGGTGGGGAGGAGGGAGCAGATAATGAAGTCCTTGTATCATGACACAGCTACCACTGATTTCAGTAAGAATTTGGCCTAATTAAGAACTGCATAGAGGTCAATAGAGCTGTTCAGAAAATTGTTTCTCTCACCAAAAATTTCTGTTAACACTGAGAAAAATAAAACCTTTCAGCTGAAAACTAAAATCCAATTTGGAAATGCCTTGCAGTGTCAAATGGGAATTGTAGTTAAAATGCCTAATGCCCCTCTTCTCCAATGTGGGCCAGGATAACTGGCCAGACTGTATCTCCCATAAGAATGGCCATACTGGGTTAGACCAATGGTTCATCTAGCCCAGTATCCTGTCTTCCGACAGTGGCCAGTGCCAGGCACTTTGGAGGGAATGAACAGAACAACCAACCATTGAATTATCCATCCCTTGTTGCCCACTCCCATCTACTGGCAGTCAGAGGCTAGGGATATCTAAATCATAGGGTTGCATCCCTGACCATCTTGGCTAATAGCCATTGATGGACCTATCCTCCACGAATGTATCTAATTGTTTTTGAACCTTGTTTTGGCCTTCACAACATGCCCGGGCAATGAGTTCCAAAGGTTGACTGTGCATTGTGCAAAGAAGTACTTCCTTTTGTTTTAAACCTGCCTATTAATTTCTTTGGGTGACCCCTGGATCTTGTGTTTTGAAAAGGGGTAAATGACACTTCTTTATTCACTTTCTCCACACCGTTCATGATTTTACTGATCTCTACCATATGCCCCCTTAGGCTCTTTTCCAAGTTGAACAGTCCCAGTCTTTTTAATCACTCCTCATACGGAAGCTTTTCCATACCCCTAATCATTTTTATTGCCCTTCCCTATGCCTTTACCAATTCTAATATATCTTTTTTGAGATGGGGCCACCAGAACTGCATGCAGTGTTCCAGGTGTAGGCATACCATGAATTTATATAATAGCATTATGATATTTTCAATCTTTTTATCTATCCCTTTCCTAATGGTTCCTAACATTCTATAAACTTCTTTGACTGCAACTGCACACTGAGTAGATCTTTTCAGAGAACTATCCACAGTGACTCCATGATCTCTTTCTTGAGTGGCAACAGCTAATTTAGATCTCATTTTACATGTATAATTGGTATTATGTTTTCCAGTGTGCATTACTTTGCATTTATCAACATTGCATTTCATCTACCATTTTGTTGCCTGGTCACCCAGTTTTGTGACTCTCTGCAGTCTGCTTTGGACTTGACTATTGAGAGTAATTTTGTATCATCTCCAAATTTTGCCACCTCATTGTTTACCCCCTGTACGAAGGGGAGGTTTGTGTGGGTTTTTTTTTTTTTTTGTCAATACAAGGCCCTCAGTGGCTGCTGAGTATTTGCAGAAAGGTTTTGCAGGAAATGGTCATCCTGGGGGAGGGAGATCCCATGATACTTTCACTAATTATCTCTCTTTCTGAGGATGAGATCCTTGTGTAATGAGATGGTTGTCCTGGAAGGGTTTGGTAAATGTTCCTTTTGCAGACATGGCCAAGAAACAGCTCTGAGGCATCCTTTATAAAAGCCATGTTGACTCTTTCGCACCATATTGTGTTCATCTATGTGCTTGATAATTCTGTTCTTTACTATAGTTTCAACCAATTTGCCTGGTACTGAAGTTAGGCTTACTGGCCTGTAATTGCCAGGGTCACCACTGGAGCCTTTTTTTTAAAAAAAATGGTGTCACATTAGCTATCCTCCAATTATCTGCTACAGAAGATGAATTATATGATTACTTACTACAGTTAGTATTTGTGCAATTTCATATTTGAATTCTTTCAGAACTCTTGGGTGAATACCATCTGGTCCTGGTGACTTATTACTGTTTAATTTATCAATTTATTCCAAAGCTCCTCATTGACACTTCAAGTTGGGATAATTCCTCAGATTTGTTACCTAAAAAGAATGGCTCAGATGTAGAAACCTCCGTCACATCCTCTAGAGTGAATACTGATGGAAAGTATTCACTGAGCTTCTCCACACTAGCCTTATCTTCCTTGAGTGCTCTGTTAGCACCTTGATTTTCCAGTGGCCCCACTGTTTGTTTGGCAGGTTGCCTGCTTCTGATGTACTTTTAGAAAGCTGCTGTTAGTTTTTGAGTCTTTGGCTAGTTGCTCTTCCAGTTCTTTTTTGGCTTGCCTAATTATACTTTAATAATGTACATGGTGCCTCATGGTCTCCCATTTTGTTGAGCCAACGTGGGGCATCATGGGAGATATAGTGCAGCTACGGAAAGCAGTCCCTGGAGAAGAGTTGAGGCATGTGGCACCAAAACTATAGCTCCCATAAGGCACCATGGCAGCATGTCTGAATCACACCTTTTCAGCTTTTTGGCTGAAAACCAAAAGTGTTTTTGTTGTTGGGTTTTTTTTTCTTTTGTGAAAAGTCAAAATTTTCTGCAGAAAACAGACACTTTTGTGAAAAAAATTATTTAGTCAAAAACCCTATTTTCTGTTGACAAAATTTTAACAATTTTTTTTTAAAAAGTATGGCCACTACACATTAATTGCTTTTGTTCTGCCTCAGTAATCCCCTTGTGTAATGTTTTAACTATAGCTGCTGAAATAATGAATTATTTGTTGTTCACTATTCACACAACATTATTCTCTTGCTTTAAAAGATTCTGTGCTGCAATCAGTGAGCAAAACATACCACGTGACATAGGTATATATGACACTGATTGATGAGGACCATATTTGCAAATGACCCACAATCTGAAAATAAGTTGTCCAAACTATCCAGCAAGTTCTCAGGAAAAAACAAAAACATTCACCAAAAATAGGGCTATATTCATGAACAATTTGCTAAACAACAACCAGTAAGTGGTATCAGGAAGGAGCTTGGTACAGAGTTGAAGGCAACAGGCTCAACTCTCTCTACTGTGCAGTGTTAATTGAATCAATTCCTTCCTTAAAATGTTGTGTAACATGTTCCTGTTGTGTACTGTGTTCCTTTGTGCTGTTAAGTGGCTCTTGTGTTTCATCCAAAATATGGCTGCACTTCTGAGTGTGTAAAGCAATCCCTGTGTAACAGTAAGTGTGTGGATGAAAGGTGTGTAAACTGTTATTATTGTTACCAGCAAGCTTTCCAGTTACCTGCAGATATAGTGGTTGTTATATTTAAGGGACACTAGTGTGTTTAGTATTTCACTCCAGGCTCATTTGTCTCTTATCTTCTCTTATTATTTTTCATGTCTCATCAGGACATTTGCTAAGACCATATTAGTGTGATATCCTTTGCAATATCCAGGGAAACATTCAAATCAGCAATACTCTACTCTTTTTTGTTTGTACTGTAACATGGGCCATAATAAATTAGTTTGAGATTTATGTTAACATGCTACATCAGTGTTTTAACTGAGTAAGGGCTGCAGGTTTCAGCCTACTGTCTCTGATGCATCACAGATTTGAGCTTTCAGCTTGTTCCCTACTCTCAGTGGACAAGATTGCAGACTTTTACCATTACATTGTCACTGTTACTTCTCAAGTTAAACATCTGCCTTAGGACCTGAAGCATTTGTGACATCGATGCTTGTTTATTAATATGAATGTTATATAACAGCATTCTGTACCCCACTGTGTTCCAACTCTCAAAGGGATAAGTAGATTGCTGAACTGGTTAATCATTAAATCACATCTCTTCTACTGGTTTACTTTCACAAAAGCTTTACAAACCCTGTTAACCAATCCCTAAAGAAAACCTAGGGAGTACAATGCATCCTTGTACACTAAACCACATTTGCTTCACAGCATCTGAACATGAAATTGCCTTTAAAATATATGTACTGGCTTGATTATTAAAAAACAGATAGTATTAAAAATTGTCTCTAAGGCTTTCATATTTGCTTTCAGTCTATATTAAGTACTGACTCCCAATCTTACATCTTGTGATTCGCACTCCTGGACACTTTGATTTGCTTCCTTTGTTGAGGCAACATGAAGGGTCTCCTTATCTGCTGAGGCATTTTGCTGAAGGTAGGAAAGAAAAGAAGAAGAAGAAGAAAAAAAGTAAATACAGAGGCAAACTATAGACAGAATTCTCATGAAAATCAGGACAGCAAACAGAATGCAATAAGTTTATTGTAAATTACCAATTACTCTTATCAATTACTCTCTATTTTGTATTTTCAGGACATTTGCTTCTTGCAAAGCATTTTGATACATCTGATAACTTATGTATAAATCAATAATAATCAAGATTTTTCTCTCAGAAGACTGAAACATGAAGATTATTTTATTTAATGATAAGCTTTGCCTTAGATAGCACTTTCTTTATATTACTGTGTAATGAAGCACAAATTTGCCTAGATTCTTCTCTGCACCCAGATACAGTCAACGCACAAGGCAGTGAAGGGAAAGGAAAGGGAATATCAGTAATCTATGTCTATCTTAATCTTTTAGTACTTTTGAGCCAGGCTATCTTATTAGCATATGTTGGAACTTTAAGAACTGCCTTATCTTATTCCAACTGGCTATGATCTATGGGACCTTACACAGGTTGTGAATTGAGGCGGTGAAAACATGCTCTTCTCTATATCCACACAATATGTCCCTCACACCCTTAAGACAGGTGTTTGTGTGTTGAGAGCAGTTGGTGTAAACTGTAAACCAGCTGAGAGATATCTAACACTGGGAACATTCTCAATTGTCCCTTTTCAGCCATATTCCAACACTTTTTGCCATTACAAACAAGAGAAATTAATCAGGATGTTATTTTGATAAAGAATCTATACCACAGTTACATTATATAGATATACATCAGCATCATACTTTTGTTGTTTACATGTAATAATGTTGATAGTTCCAGGTTCCCTCAGCCCTAACAAGAAGTACAGTACAGAGTGACATGGCTGGATAAGCATACAGGATATTGCACCATTAAATTAGATTTCATCTTCAGATCAGTTGTACATACTGTTTGTTAATAAAGTAGAAATAAAACACACTATGCTGAAAAATAAAATGTAACATAAAATTGCCATTGTGGTACAGTATGCAACATAATTTAATGATGAATTTCAGTGGATCATTATCACAGCCTGGTCATTTTCAGTTATAAGGACTATGTGTTCTGAAAGCACTAAACCCATGATCATCGTGAAAATTTCTACCATATTTTTATTGTTCTTCTTTTTCTATCAGAAAGTCTTTACGGTCTGATCCAAAGCCCACTGAAGTTAATAGGAAGACTTCAACTGACATCAGTGGAATTTGAATCAGGCCCTAGGTGCCTCAAAAATGTGATATCCTTGAACCACTGGAAAGAGAGAACTGATTACTTCAGTCATTATGGCCTATCAATAAGGCTCAAACATTGATTTTGGAATTTATTGTAGGATTTATTCTCTGAGAATATATTCAAATATGTTCTCAGAGAATAAATCCTACAATAAATTTCAAAATCAATGTTTATGATCCTTATTGATTTTGATAAAAGTTTCAAGTCATGAAAAGTTTAGCATCTGTATCTGGGTTAATACTTTCAGATGAAGTTGGGCTGCTCTATAGTTCTGGATGAGATCTTGAAACAAGTAAATCTTGCATTTTACCCAAAATTTCACAACAATTTAGCTGGGAACAGGCAACCAAATCACCAATGTTGGTGATCTTCAATGACCAGTTTTGAAAGGCTGTTCCATCTTTAGAGCCCTGCAAATCTGCAGATATCTGCAGACCATGTTTGCGGATCACTGGCCGGATGTGGATACAAACTTTCTATCTGCTCAGGGCTCTACCCATCTTTCTTGTGTCAGTTACCTCCATCTAAAACCAGTGTTTTAGAAATGTCCAGATTTGATAGAGTGCTGAAGAGAAGAAATGGGTAGATTATAGCCTACAAAATAGTATTTTTCTTTAATAATAGGAGGAGCTCTTCAGTGAGAAGGCTTTAGTTTCATGGAGGCTGATAAATGACAGACAAGCTATAGTCATGAAATGAGCTGGTGATATGGTCTGCCTAGTTTTGGCAAGACTATTAGTCTTACTGGGATGTGACACCAAAGCAATCCCCACTCCTCTGGTATTTCTATCAATGTGGGGACTATTTTCCACCTTGGCCCAGACTATGACATGCACATTACAAACTTCTGAACAAGAGAAAGGTAAGTATTTATTTGAAAACGGACAAAAAATTGCTAGTTATGTGATCTGGTGAATCAGTTTGGTGAGATAATGAATTTTCTTTCATAACAATGGACTTATTTGATTAAGTAATCTACCTATCTGAACGATGAGGGGTAATAGTAGAGTTGTGTAAACTTGAAATTCCAATTGTCCTATAGGAGTCTTCTTGCTTCACACAGTAAATACCATTGCATAACACTGAGTTCTTGAATGATAAGATCTCCCTCTTCCTGGAAGACAACTGACATATCAAGGTTCATCACTTCAAATTCATCAATACAGATACTATGTCACTTGATTTTTTTTTTCTTTCTCTCTTCCCAGAGCATCATGGACAAACATACACAGCCTAAATGCTCTTAAGGAGGTGCTGGTGCCAAACAAGCCCCTTCCCAGACCCTCTTTTCCTCTCTCCCCATGCACACCGGAATCTCTATATCCTTCTCAATTCCTATTGCATTTCTCTTCCTTTTCTCAATCAATTGAGCCTTCTCCCATTCCCCTAGAAGTCCCTGCCTAGTGGATGCTCCTCAACCCTACCCTTAAGAATGGTTCATGCTTCTTATCCACATCTCCTGTGCAACCATCATCTCCAGTTCTTTTTCATGCTGTGGCTCCATGCCAATTCTTCCTTGTTCATGCCCTCAGTCCCTGATTAAATTTCCCCTTCTCATCTCCTGCCTGTTGTTTCCTGACCTAAAGGAGGGTTCAGGAAACAGCAGGATGGGATGCAGCAGAGCATGGTGATGGTGCAGGCCAGAAAAAAAGAGGGGTTCCTGTCAGCCTGTTCCTGGTTCCTCCCAAGAGTTCTAACCTGTTTCACCGCCTAATGGCCAGAAACCCTTTCATATTCCATCTGGCCACTTCAAAACCTTGGAAACTGGCTGGAATCTAAGTTGTTCAACACTTAGGTCCACATTCTGAAGTCCATAATCAGTCCCTACTCAGGGAAACTTCCCATTCTATTCAATGGTAATTTCACCCGAGTATGGGCTTCAGCATTTGACCACTGGGATTAGCCAGTTTCCTAAAGACTACAGCCTCTGTATGGATTTTTATGGGGTTCTAGGAATAGTTAGAACTAATTTCTTATATGAAATATGATGACAAATTATATTTCTTAAACATCATTAAGGTTTTGTTTAGTGTTTACAGATTCATACATTCCAAGGTCAGAAAGGACCATTGTGATGATCTAGTCTGGCCTCCTGTCTAACACAGCATAGAACTCCCCCCCCAAATCACTCCTATAGCATATCTTTTAGGAAAATATCCAACCCTGATTTAGAAATTTTGACTGATTCAGAATCCACCATGACCCTTGGTAAATTGTTCCAATGGTGAATTATCTTCACTGTAAAAAATTTACACCTTATTTCCAGTCTGAATTTTTCTCGCTTCAGCTTCCAGCATTTGAATCACATTATACCTTTCTCTGCTAGATTGAAGGCCCCTTTTAAAATATTTGTTCCCCATGTAGCTACTTATAGACTTTAATCAAGTAACCCCTTAACCTTCTCTTTGTTAAGCTAAGTAGAGTCATTAAAGTATAGTGATAGACTGAAGGAGCTCATTCTCATGGCTCTTCTCTGAACCTTCTCCCATTTTTTAACATTTTTTCTTGAATTGTTGACACCTGAACTGGACTCAGTATTCCAGCAGCAGTCACATCAGTGCCTGATACAGAGGTAAAATAACCTCTCTACTCCTACTAAGGATTCCCCTGTTTATGCCTCTGAGGATTGTATTAGGGTTGCACTGGGAGCTCATGTTAAAAGGGCTGCTGACTCGTAGATGATGTAAATGAATGCCTGGAAACAAACCTTTACAAATATTTTTTTTTGTTTTTGAAAAAAAAATTCAGCCCTAATAAAAACGGAAACACCATTTACTAGCTGATTTAAATCATTTAGCAGATTGATAAAAATGCCGCTGTGTATTTGGGAGCAACACAATTTGGAAACAGCTCCTGGACTCCTTTCTAATTTGTCTAAGCCCTTCTGAACCCTGCCCAAAGCTTTTAAATCCAGGATTTCACATGTGAAATTTTTCAGTGGATCTGCATCCACTAGAGCTGCTTTGAAATATACAGATATTTACAGGTGAGAACTTTCAAGCTTGACCAAAAAAATCAGTTTTCAAATTCACATATTTGCATTAAGTAAAGCTGTTTACAACTCATTTAACATATATGTTTGCAGCTGAAACTAGAATCCATTTGTGTGTACATAGCTTGCAACAAAAAATCCAGGAAATTTACAACAGAAAACCAAGCCAAACTCATCATTTCTCTGAATTTTCCTACAGACTGCACTGTAATAAAGACAGACTCCAGTTCCAGCATGTGCTTTTTAAATGTTCTTAGCTACTATCTATATATTTTCCCCATTCAAGCTACTTACAATTTTTCTTTTCAAAAATATACGGCATTATTATAATCTCTTTGGTCTCACCATTATTTCTTTACTGCCTAATACCGCTACTTTGTTATGGCAATTGAATTACTATCCTGTAATCTCTTTTGACTTTGATATGTAGTTGAACTCTTTATTCAATTATGCTATTTTTCAAGTGTTTCTTCCTTTTCTTACAAGACTTCCTGGGTTTTATTGTGCAGCCATTACTTACGTCGGTAAGCACTTACATGAGAAGTCCCACCAGCACTGTTGAGACTACTTGCCAACGTGCCCACCAACATGAATAAATGTTCCAACTTCAGGACATTTATTTTCCCTTATATACAACCCACTTGCTTTCTCTTCTCTCAGTTTAAGTTTTACAGTGGCAGTGAATTAATCTGCATTCTGAGAAGCAATTTAAGTTAAAGGCCTTCATATATATTTAACAAGGGACTTCTGCTGGACTTTGATCTCAAACAAGTGTCCATCTCTTATAAATCCAAGTAGTCATATGATTTTATGAACATTAGTGGTCTCATCTGCACAGTAATGCCTGTAAAGTTCACCAAGATGTTGGACATCAAACCCATGGCTATGCCCTGAAACCTACAGACTATTTTGGTCTAAATTGTAGATGCAAATACCATTAGTGTTTGTTCAGGGATAAACTTTTACCCTTAGAAGCATCAAAGGCCAAGACTAGAAAAATTTAAAAAATATTTACAGGAAGTGCTTGATACCCTGCTCTGTGGTATCCATCTGGACAGCTGAAGCCAGCCTCAAAGGCTGATGGGAGTTTTAGTCAGCTCCCTTCCAGGAAACCACAAGGACAGATGAACAGCCAGACAGATGGTGTGTAACAGTACTGCATACAAGAAAATAAATCAACTAATACTTGGTCTGGTCATAGACATTGCAGAGCTCTGTGCAAACTCAGACAAGAAATTTCCTCAGAACTACTTTCATCAATTTACTTCAAGGACTTTTTTTTTTTAGTTTAATGGCAGAGAGGTGCTTGTGATATCTGGGAAGGGTTGGTAACTGGCCAGGGAGTTGTGTGTTGGTAACATTTGTTATGGCGGACGAGGACAGTTAGATAGCTGGGAGCTGGAAAAGAGTTCTCTGTGCTTTTCTGGGCCAGCTGCATTGTGAAACATTCAGAAATCTCTCATCCCCGTAATCTGTGGCAATTGTCATATTCCCCCAAACACAAGGTTCTGACTATCTAGTTGCACACTATATATGTGCACAGGGCAAGCACTCCCCATCTGATTTTTTTAAAGGGGCCATTAGGAAAAAATGTTTGGCCTGACAGAGCCTTGCATCATTTCTGGGCAGGTTACAATTGCTATTCTTCATGACTGCTTTCTGTTTTGTGTTCTGTTCTTTTCTGTCCAAAATGTGAAGTGACACAGATATTTGTTTCCACACAATTTTGGAAGTAATCAAAATTAGTTGGGGGCCTCTTAATAGCTGGAAACACATACAAAAGACAGTCCCTTACTGAAAACCACAGAGAAGCCTGTACAACATTTTGCAAATACTGGCAGTGTGAAGCAAATCCTTGAGTCAGTTTCTTAGCAGTGTGACTATAAAAGCTTACACATAAGAAATTTAAAAATGAGAAACTATTAAATAAGAAGCACAAACGTTGGTAATAATGAAACGATACAGGCTATAGTTCCCTAGGTCTGATGGTCACCATCATACATACAAGTCCAGCACAATTAGCAAGGAGCCATGTAAGCTTTTGTATACTACACAGACAATGTCACTCAGCAAAGACCTGGAGGTAATTGTCTCTTGTCAGTAAGAGGGAATTCAGTTTTCATCCTTATTTAAACCTTGTTCTCTCTGGCCTAATAAATTCAAGTACATGTGTATAGTGTATCATTTTTCATAGAATCTCATAGTTAATTTTACGAACTATGTACTAATCCTTATGTATTCAGTCTTTAAGCAGGCAAAACTCCCAGTGAGAGTTTTACCTTTGTAAGGCATGAATTAAAACTAATGATGCCAGAATTTGGACTTTTGCATGTTTAGCACCACTGAAATTTAAGCATCTCTGGGATGAAAAGTGGCTGCTACTTGGTACACCTTGTGGTACAGGGACATTTTGTTCAGGGACACCAGGACAAACCCCTAATCTTTGAAAACTGCCAGATGACCTTTAACATCAATGTGGAAAAGACAACACTTCCCTTTCTTTTTCTCTACTTCAGGTCTCAAGTGAACTAATGTCAGTTGTAATGGTAGTTCTGGAACGTGAACACTTTTCATCTTGGAAATGGAGAGAGACTGTCAACTTATGTCACACAAACCCCAGAATATCCATCAGATAGTAATTACTTTTGGCTTCAAACAGATGATCTGGAAGTAAAAGTCTCCATATCCAGTTATCAATCCAGAGTCATCCTTTCAGCCCTAAATTTTTATGAGGAAACTTAAAATTGTTCAATGACTGACTCACAGAGCAACAAAATTTGAGACACACACTTCTCACTTTTGAAACATTGTTGTAACATATTTGTGACTACATCATAATTGCTTCCCTGTGATATGTAATGGGCCATTAATGTTTCTATGTTTTCTTTGCTATTCTTCTGTGTTCCTTCCTCTTTTAAATCTCTACTGTAGTTCTAAGAAATAAAAATAAAAGCACATTCATAAGAAGCCCTACAGGCAAAAGCTAGGAAAGAGGTCTTTCATTTCAGACATTGTTTGTAGTGTGTGTGGGTTTTTTGTGTTTTGTTTTGTTTTCTAGATTCTATAACTCTTCAGCCTAAAATCATTCTCTTTAACCAAATCAGTTGTTAACAGTCTAAAACTGGTGGGATCA